CTGCTGTGTTCATCCAGCTCTGCACCTTGTTATCTCAGATTCTCCAGCATCTGCAGTTCCTGCTATCTCTGATGTTATTTGTTTGACTCTGTTTGAGAAAGATTGAGATGAAGATTATTGTAATATTTTCAGAGCTGTTTTCAAAAGACCAAGAACCTTAAAAAAGAATATTCACTCAACAGGTCTGATCAATAAATATGAGGTCAATGGACTACAAGCATGGATTATTACCCACATGCTCTGGTTTGCCAATGCCAACTATTTTCACTGGTTTTCTCCCACAATCCTATTTGATCATTGGATTCCTCTGTTGTGGTGTGCCAACATCCTGGGCTATACTGTGGCAACATTGGCTATGATGAAGGCATACTTCTTTCCCAGTAACGCAAATGACTGGTAAGAATTTAATCTGTGACAATGTATTGCAGAATTGTTCAATGACAGCCTTGTTCCTGGGTTGTCCCTGTGTTCTTTTTGGTTTATTGGAGAGGTTTATGAAACAACACTGGATTGCCAGTGAGCAGGCTGCCTTGTATGTGTTCCAGCACTGTCCCCCCCTCTCCACAAAGTGCTGTTACCACCCTATTATTTGCCCTCAGAATTTCTGAACCACTTCCTCATCTCCAAATTCCTCCTCATAATCATTGGATTGATGCCAATGTTGCTTCCAACTCAGAACTTGGATGCGGTTTTCAAACGTCCCACAGTATTGGCACAACCCTAAAGAGAGCCACATGATTGCCTGTGACTCTGCTGCATTACTCATTTTCCAGATGCTCCATCCTGTCTCCAGCTTTCGACAAGTTTACTTATTCTAATCCAAACCTGTTCTTTCAGAGTAGACTCAATGGAAAGTATGGACTACATCTGCGATATTTTATGATCTTATGGCCGTCCAGCCACACGGAAGTGTCAGAGTTTTATTTTGCTCTTAACCTACCCAAACGTACAAAGGCTATCTCTTCTACTAAAATCTATCCATGAACCCAATATTGCCACATCACTGCATGGCCTACAATGTAACATACAGCGCAATAAACTGGTGTTAGACAACAAACAAACAAACATTCAGAGCCACATTGCAGCACATGTAGATCTTGCATCACGTAGAGTCATACAGCACAGAAACAGGGTCCAACCTGTCTGTGCCGAACATAATCCCAAACTAAACTAGTCCCATATCCCTCCAAACCTTTCCTGTTCATGTACTTATCCCAAAGTCTTTTAAACGTTGTAATTGTATCCACATTCACCACTTCCTCTGAAGGTTTGTTCCACCCTCTGTGTAAACAATTTGCCCCTCTCGTCTTTTTTAAATCTCTCCTCTCATCTTAAAAATGTGTCCCCTAGTCTTGAAAACCCCATCCTAGGGAAAAGACAACTACCATTAACCCTATCTGTACCCCTCATTATTTTATAAACTTCTATCAGGTCACCTCTCGACCTCCTACACTCCAGTGAAAATGTCCCAGCCTGTCTAGCCTTTCTTTATAACTCAAACCTTCCATACCTGGCAACATCCTGGTAAATCTCTTCTCAACCCTCTCCAGCTTAATATCCTTCCTATAACTGAGCGACCAGAACTGGACACAGAAGAGGCTCTATCTGTGGCCAATCACCTCTTCCTCTTCCATATGGTGTGCCTTGGTGACTTGATCTGTACCCGCGGGACCAACTTTCACATGTACAGTGACGAGAGACCTCCACCAAATCTCACGTATCTCTTGCAACCCCTGTTACCTTGACAATGTTGGACTGTTTGTCCTGCACTTAAATCTGAAAGAGTTTTCTCCAGAGCTGCCTACAGTTTAATTCAAACAGAAAATGTTGGACAGTGTCGGACAGTTAGGTAACATCTGTGGATGGAAACACTGAAACAGTAAAGCCATCTTCTTCTGTTCTGCTGAAAGTTGCTAGAATTCTCACTTTGCATTTCAAACATCCAGCATATACTGAGAAACAAAAGTCAGTTATTCAGCCCCACTGCACACCCCAAAGCTGTTCCAACATATCAAGGCAGATCTATAAGTTAACTCGTTATGCTTGCCTTTTAACTACGTTCGTCAATGCAGTCTTCAAAATTGTTTATTTTGTTTTTTTCTCCCCATTTAAGCAATATTTAAGCTCAGCATGAAGCTGCTTCCATAACCTGCAGTTACCAGCTGTGGTCGATTGCATACCCAGAAATTTTAATACATGGCTTCCAAATGTTTGCTCACTTAAGAATCGTTCATTAACATTTCCCCAAATTAAAAATTTGTGTTTTTTTTCCTAACGCGCTTTTTTTTTTTTCTCCTGGGTTTGCCCATAGCAGTATCCTAGACATTCTTCTGTAATTGGAGGAGGCTCCATGGGAATCCTGGGGTGTTGGCAGCTCTAGCCCCACTATCAACATCCCCACAGTGAATCAGATTTTCACAGACCACAGTACTCTGTTCAATCCTGAGCTGAGCTGGACTCTGGATACGTTCAGCTCATTGACTGCTGTTTACCTTGCTTTGGGCCATCTGCTGTTGAAACTTTTGTCTGTGCCTTTATAACCCCAGATCTGACGATTCTGATCATCTCCTGGCTGGCTTCCCATTGTTCACCCTTCAAAGAACATCAGCTCCTCCATAACTCTTAAGCCAGAAGCTGATTCTGGCAACCTCCTGTTCACCATTCCCTCTTCTCTCGTCAGCTTCCAGCACCTCACAGCTTCAAATTTAAATTCCTCCACCATGTATTGAGATCAGTCCCTAGCCCCTCTCTCGTATTAGCAACATTCTCCAGGATTACAAGGAAGGCGGAGGAGGTGATGCAGTGATATTGTCAAAGGACAGCTAATTTTGGGACACAGGTTTGAATCCCACCATGGCAGATGATGAAATTTTAATCAATTAATGCTAATAAAGAAGGAAATGAGTAGCAATCAAAAGCATTGTCATTATTACACCACTGTGTCTATTCAAGTGGGAAGTACAGCTTTCACACATTTATTCCCTTTTTTTTAGCAAGTTCACTGGAAATTTCTTCTACGATTACATGATGGGAATTGAGTTTAATCCACGGATAGGAGCATGGTTTGACTTCAAGCTATTCTTTAATGGTCGTCCTGGTATTGTGGCATGGACTATCATTAACCTTTCCTTTGCTGCCAAGCAGCAAGAGCTGTACGGTCAAGTGACAAATTCCATGATCTTGGTGAATGTGCTGCAGGTAATTATATTTTTCTGTTTCCTCGGAAAATCATGAAATAACACCGGAATGTGCGTGGGAACCCTGCAATGGATGACCATACTGGCAGATAGTAATGTGAGGAAGTAATTAGTTTCAGTGGTCTGATTTGACACAAGGCATAAAGAGACAGATTATGATTCTTCTTATAAGAGGAATTCCCCAACTAGACTTCATAACAACTTTTAAAGGGAAAGTAGATGAACATTTGAAAAGGATATGAAGAAGAGGCAAGGGAAATCTTTTCTGAATCTACATGCAGCTGCTTAGCAACTTTATTCCAAAACTAAAACTAATAAGTACGTTAATGTCACCCAGCCTCACCTACCATCACCTCTCAGCCTCTCAGAAACTGTACACTTTCTTTAATTACTTTTGCATCTTGTGCAACATCTACTATTGGATCAGATTAATTTTATTCCAACTAAATACTAGGAAGGTCAAAGCCATTGTCTGCAGTCCCCACTACATTCTGTAGCTCTCGGCCTGTTTACAATCTTGTTTTCATACTTGGCTGAGTTTAGATTTCAGTCAACACTTATTCTCCATCACCAAGATCAACAACAGCCAGCTCCTGAACCATTGACCAGAAACTGAACTGGGCTAGTCAGTGGTTACAAGAGCAGGTCAGAGCTAGGAATCCTGCAGGGATTAACTCACGTCCTGACTCCCCAAAGCCTGTCCACCATCTACAAGGCACAAGTCAGGAGCGTGATGGAATACTCCCCACCTGCAGCTCCAACAACACCCAAGACACTTGACACCATACGGGACAAAACAGCCCGTTTGATTGTTAGCAGATCCACAGACATTCAGTTTTGACACTATTGAAGCTCAGTAGCAGCAGTGAGTACTATCTACAAGATGCAGAAATTCACCAAGGCCCTTTAGTCTGCACATTCTACATCGATGACTAGTAACATCTGGAAGGACAAAGGCAGCAGATACATGGGAACGCCATCATTTGCAAGTTCCCCATCCTGATTTAGAAATATATTACCATTCCTTCAGTGTCATTGGACCTTCTTAACAGTATTGTGGGTCTACCTACAGCAAATATTTGCAGCAGTTCAAGAAGGCAGCTCACAACCACCTTCTCAAGGGTAATTTGGAATGGACAATACATGCTGGCACATCCATAGATGTCCACATCCCACAGATGAATGAAAAATGCATCACTCATCCTAGTTCATCTGCTGCTGAAAACCTCAGCTGTGCTTTACCATGAGATTTGACAATTCCAGAGTTCTCCCAGGCTGCCCCTCATCCATCAGAGCCTTTATAAACCTACACATGCCAAGCTCCATTCACTCAGCCGCCTTATGCTGACTCTCAGTCTGCAAATCATTCTTTATTTTAAAAGTCTTGTTTTCATATCAGTATTGGATTTTAATTTTAATCTGTCATGGCATGTGTTGTACCTTGCAAGGCCAGAATTTGTTGCTCACCTGTAATTGCCCTTGTAGTGAGTGGCTTGCTCAGGCTGTTTCAGAGGGCAATTAAGAGTCAACCACATTGTTGTGGCTCTGGAGTCACATGTAGGCTAGACTGGCTTCCCCTAAGGAGATTAGTGCGCCAGATAACATTTTACGACAATCAATGATTGTTTCACAGTCACCATTACTGAGAATAGCTTTCAATTCCAGATTTGTAAGTTGAATTCAAATTTCATCAGCCATGGTGAGATATAAACCCCATGTCCCCAGGGTATTAGCCTGGGCCTCTGTTTGACTAATCCATTGACCTCACCACTATGCCACCACCTCCCCTACTCTGTAATATCCTGGGGTCCTCGGACATATCTAACCTGGCCTCCAGTGCATCCTCAATTTTAATTTGTTCACCATTGTTGGCCAGGCCATTCCCCAAGCTCTGGAATTCCTTCCCTAAACCTCCCTATCTCTGTCTCTTCTCTTTGAAGATCATCCTTAAACCTACATTTTTCAATATGTAGCCTTATGTACCTTGATGTCACGTATTATTTGATAACCATGATTGTGAAGCAGCTTGGGAACTTTGAAGTTTGCATCAAAGGTAGACAGGGTGGTTAAGAAGGCATTTAGCACGCTTCCCTTCATTGCTCGGACCTTTGAGTGTAGGAACAAAACAAAGTTGCTGCAAAAGCCCAGCAGGTCTGGCAGCATCGTGAAGGAGAAAACGGTTAACGTTTAGGGTCCGGTGACCCTTCCTCAGAGGGTCCCTGAGGAAGGGTCCTTCTCTGAGGAAGGGTCACCGGACCCGAAACATTAACTGTGTTTTCCCCTTCACAGATGCTGCCAGACCTGCTGAGCTTTTCCAGCAACTTTGTTTTTGTTCTTGATTTACAGCATCTGCAGTTCTTTTGATTTTTCCTTTTGTGTAGGAGTTGGGACATCATGTTGAGGTTGTTCAGGACACTGGTGAGGCCTCTTCTGGAATACTGTGACTAGTTACACAGAACATAGAACTGTAGAGCTCAGGAATAGGCCCTTCGGCCCAAGATATTGTGCCAAACATGACACCAAATTAAACTAATCCCTTGTGCCTGCTGTTGGTCCATATCCCTCCATTCCTTGCATATTCTTGTGCTTATATAAAAATCTCTTAAATGACACTATCGTATCTGCCTCCACCACCACCCCCTGGCAGCTTGTTCTAAACCCCTAACACTCTGTGTAAAAAAAAAAAAAACTTGCCTATCGCATCTCCTTTGAACTTTGCCCCTTTCACCTTAAATGCATGCTCTCCGGTTTTAGACATTTCAACTCTGGGAAAATGATTCTGACCGTTAACCCAACCTATGCATCTCATAATTTTATAGACTTCTACCAAATTTCCCTTCAGCCTCCGCCGCTCCAGAGATGACAAGTTCAGGTTGCCCTGT